GAGAGAATTAACAGCTTGAATATTTTCTCTTTGCCAACAGAAACACTTCGAACTTGAAACACTTTACTACCGGAAACCACTACGATACAATTAAACACCCTTAACCAAAGACAGACAAAAAGGCACTGCACATGTCAAGTAAATTGCACATATAAATTGATTTTGAGAAGAAAAAAAAACTATAAAAAACATTTGTCCTCCCAAAGCAAATTAAAACCTTAGGTCTAAAGCTTGCAGGGCAGAATGCATGAGTGAAGCACTGAAACAAAAATGTGAGAACAGTGTGAAATAAAGACTGACAACAGCTTTAATTGTTGCTGTATTATCAACACTGATAAAGTGAATTCTTAAGATTTAAATGGAGCATATGGCATCTAAAGGGGAAAAAAATATTACCTGTGGAACTTACGGGTTCTTGAACCACTGCTAGCTTACTTAGCAAATAAAAGCATTAGAGAATAGTTACACAGGTTTGTCTTTCATGTGCACTATAAATCACAAGTGAGAAATGAAGTCTCTCCTCCTAAGGTATTTCATAATCTCAGAAAGAACAACTGAAAAAAGAACCACCAAACAACAAACCTATTATACATTTGCTGGTAGTAATGATACCCAACATGCTGATCACAGATAACGAAGGTTCACTTCACAGATCTAAGAACACAACCCAGACAGAAGTATAAAGGACAGCCAGTGTTGTAAATTGATTAGCCTTATGGATTTAGAACACAAGTTGCATCTTAAGTCTCAATTTGACACTTAAATGAATGCTTAAAGCAGTTTGGTTTTGCAACTGCCACTTTAGAGTGCTTTTCCACAGACATCTAGCTAGCTTCGCACATTTTGTCAATTAGTTAAACAACTGTAAGACCAGGTTCTATAAATAACAATTTTTATAATCTAAACAGTTAAAACAATTCTAGTCATATGAGAGTTTAATTTTAACCACTGAAATGGAGACATCATTGGAGCAAGTCCAGAGGAGGGCCACGAGGATGATCAGGGGGCTGGAACACCTCCTGTATGAAGACAGGCTGAGAAAGCTGGGCTGTTCAGCCTGCAGAAGAGAAGGCTGCATGGAGATCTCATAGCAGCCTTCCAGTATCTGAAGGGGGGCTATAGGGATAGAATCATATAACAGTTAGGGTCCTTTCCAACCCTAACGATTCCATGATTCTATGATCATTTGCCTCTGAACCAGCATGAGCACTAAACTTCATTTACTGAATACCACCTTATTATTAATAAAGTTTCCTATGAATAGGAAAGAAGAGAAGAAAGAAAATCTGAAGTTTATTTTCTTTTCTATTCTTTAAGGCAGATAAGGAAGTCAGGAAGCTAGACAGGAACATACAGGACTGATTACTGCTGCTTAAATACAAAACTAGAAGACAGCATCAGCACACGCTGTAACAGAACACATTCAGATGCAAATAACCCTTTAAAACAGATAGATAACTTTTCATATAGCTTTACATATTCACTTGATTTAAAAAATAAAAGGCTTTTTGTTTGATTTTTAGTCATACTGTTTTTCTCAGTTTCTCGGTAGAGCTTTAGGTCTGACTGACTAGTTTCAACAAAACCTGGCAGAAAAAAATGGTTTTGGTCACCCCTGTGTGCAGTGAAAGGGAAAAAAAGGACACTGCTACAATTGTGCACCATGGAGGAAAAAGCTTCAGTGACTGTTCAGTCATCAGTACAGCTGCCAGGTTGCCCATCAAAAGACAAGAAGCCATCCAAACCATGTGCTGCCTCTTGCCCTGGCATCATTTAAAGAGCCTAGGATGGAACCGGGCTTACTGCTAAGTTAGGTGGAAAAAGAGATCGGAAATGGAAATCAGGCAGTATATTTCACTTCTTGAGAAATAAAACCTTTTACTAATGTGCGAGCATAAGAAAAAAAAAGGCTTTGTTTCTTTGTACTTTACAAACAAAAAAAATTCAAACCCCATTACAGGAAGCAGGCATCTAAATTGCACAACACTCACTTCATTCAGTAGCTAAGATGGTGCTTTCCATTTAGTATGTTTAGTTAATTTTTCTCACCTCAAAATGCATTAAGGTATCATTTACTGAATTATTAAATTCAGTAAAATTAAAAAATATTAAAATTTAAAATTAAAATTAAAAAAGAAAAATAAATTCAAATTATTTATATTTTACACAGAGGATGGCAAGCATTACTTTCCAATGAGCATCTATACATTGTTCATGGACACAGTAGGAGTGCTTTCTCAACAGGAATGACCCCATCCTCACAGCATCCTGACAACTAACAGCTCCGTTATTCCCATTTCACAAACCAAAAATAGAAGTGCAGGGAGTTTACTGAACAATGACCATAAGGTCCCTGAATACTTCATACTATATAGGGGTACTTTGGAACTTCCTTTGAGTTCTGTAAAAGCTATGAATGCTAGTCACTTGTGCTCATCAAACGTGATATCCTGACACCATAAACACCCAGTTAAAAAGAGCTAGAGACTGCATCAGACTCATTTGAACTCTGGCATTACATAGTAGTACAGGGTTTCCCCAAATTTAATGCCATTTGAACTCATTTCCTTTTTAAGAATTGAGAAAAACAACTATTTAAAAATACTCTGTGACAAGCAGCTATTTATGTTTAGTAATGCATTCCAATGGTTAATTAGTCCAGTAAGAACACACCCCTTATTTGAAGTCTCAACTTGCTTAATTCTGTTTCCAACCACAGAACTGTGGTATACCTTTGTCAGCTTTTATCAAATACCTCTTCCTCAAGCAGGTACATACTGACTAATGAAGAAACCCTTAACATTTCCCTAGCTAAGCTAAACAAAGTAAGCACCTTCCATCTTAATTACTAAGACTGCTGTCCCCTTCTCCCAGTTATTTTCAGGGCTATTCTCTGGAAGCTGATTTTCTACCGGCCTCCCTGGACTGTTAAGACCAGACATACTGCTCCAGTAATGGTTATAGCTAAGTAAATTATACATAACCTCATTATTTCTGATTCCCTTGCCCAACTATTTCTAAGTTTTTCACCAGACATTTTAGCTACAGTCTAAAAGCGTTGACTTCAAGTGCAACACATATCAGTCATCAACTCCAAATCTTTCAGTCTCAGATTGAGTCCCACTAGTTGTCCAACTCAGTATCCAGTGGCACTGATTCAGCCATGAAATAAGTGTTACATTATTTTTCATGTGTCCAGTTCACTAGTGATCTGGACCACTCTGCATCCGTATTAATGTTCTTTTACTCCCAAATGTATATTTATGAGTTTCTAGGTAAATAAAAACATCTGAAATAATTCTAACAGTTATTTACAATGAGAGCCTTGAATACTGTGCAACCTTAAGTAGCAGAGGTTAATGCAATATATGCAACAGCACTCTTACCTCTAGCATGCCCCAGCAATTGCATAACACACCCCCATGTTAGGTTTTATATGTTACTCATACACAACTTTGCGTTGCAAGAAACCAAATGTCTAGCCACAGCCCTCCTAGAATTCTTAACTAGCATGAGTTACTACAGTTTATTTTGTGAAGTAAAATTTAACTAATCTTTAAAATACGCCAGAACCAACCCATGAGCAATGTGTTAGAGATGGCAATAAATTAAAACACAGTTGAATTTCCATTGGATAAATTGATGGAAACTTTTAAATGTTCAGGCTTTATTTTCTTCTTATGTAGAATGAATTAGGATCACAATCTTAGGCTACTTCATATCATCTAACTGTAAGACTTTTGTGAATATTAACATTGTCCCTCTGGCTAAGCAGGACAGCAGCCCAAACTGTCAGAGGCTCCAATCCAGCTCAGCTTCATCATTTTAATGAAGAGGAAGGGGGGAGCAGGGGGTGTCTAAAGGAGAAGAAAACAGAGAAATAGAAAAATAGTATCTTCCCATACAGCTTCTTCCTTTTTTCAAAAGGCTACATAATATTTTCCCAAATTATGAGGGCACATACTTACAAACAATTCTCTCGTGTCTTTTTAAAGCCCTGTAAGTACTACGGGGTACATTACGTAGGACACTGTCTTTTGTACCTGAACTTTAAAGGCAAGGGGGTTTAATCTCCTCCATCAAAAGTGCTTAGAAATTACATAGCAGAAGGAAATCAATTATTCTTAAGTCAGCCAGTTCCACATCTCTGATGTGTACACTTCAGGTATGATAGCTGCTTTGACCTCAGGAATGCCAGAGGTAAAAGGCCTCGCCAGCCTTACTTAAGCTTCTCTCTTCAACTTGAGAGATGAGTAGGTAGATTACCCATAGTAGGAAATAATTCCAAGAGTTGATTCTCAATGACATCTTTTGAGTTGATATGATCCTCTGTGGATCATATAGTAAAGGCACACACACATACTTATGCAGCTTACATCTTCAAAGCACTTTTCAATCAGTTCTACCCAGTCCCTACCTGGAGTGGGTGCCTCTTTATTTTACAGGCAAGTCCACAGACAAGAATTTACTGTGCTGTTACTGCCCTTTCACCATTAATTAGCATACATTATCAGTCACAAAAGGAATTCAGGCTGCTCATAAACTTTTTGCTTTATTTTCTATAAACTTAAGTGGAAGAGACAGAGGCAGAAAAAGATCTTCACCTAGTCAGAGCAAGCACTAGTTGGAGCAAGCACTAGTCAGAGCAAGCATTGCATTAGAAGGGAACCATCAGGGAGAACAGTATTTAATGGCACAAAACAAAGTAAGATTTAAGGAAAGAAAGAAAGAAAGAGAACAAAGCACTGGAACACAGCTGGATACTCTTGCAAACCCTTTTTTGAGGACCTAAATAAAAAGTAAAAACCAAAACCGAAAAAAAACCACCATGCAGAATAGCTACTGTTCCCCCATTCCCTAACTACTTTTTAGTTGGTACCTACTTGAAGATTGCTGCTAGAACCTTTTTCTGGTTTTCATCTTCCTGTCATTATCATTCTTCTCAGATTCTATTAATTGATACTGTAAGGCAAAAATTTAAGAAAGAAGGAAGAACTTACTGGTATTGAGAACTCCTCCGCCAAATACTTCAACACTGATGCTCCTCTAGCCAAAAAGTTGCTTCTCTCTATCAGGTTGCCTTGGAGTTTTGTATCAAATTCCTTTCTGACAACTGAAGCAATAGAGTCAACTATTATGAGTTTAACTTTCTTTGAAATAATTTCTTCTTCCAAAGACGTAATCCTGAAAAGAAAAAAAAAAAACAAAAAAAACCCAAACCAACATAAAAACCTCCAGTCATTGATAGTACTATTTACACAATAGAGCCATTTTATACCCTGATGCTGCTAAAAAGGTCTACTTTAATAACCTGGAAGTCAGCCCTCTTTTCCCCCCTCACACACAACCTCCATGTTAACACTCTGCATGTGTTAAGAGATTCTGAGGCTCAGTAGGCCACAGAACCAAAACCAGGACCTTTCTGAAAGAGTTTTGGAAGAACCTCTGGTTAGCAATACTATGCAGTACAACCCCTGAATGGCAGACAGCAAGTTAAGTGGACACTGAAAGTATGCCTTTTTGCTCACAGTATTTCATTGCCAACACCAGAATCCTTGGTGTCTATATATGCATAGGGTCAAATCTGTTTCCAAAGACAGTATGCCAAACCTAACCCAATGATAGAACACTATTAGCTGTTCTCTAATAAAGCTGCACTAGAAGTTACTCTTAGAATAATTCTCCCACTAACATAAAACACACAAGATGATGCTAAAATATAACATAATTCATTCTCATTGCAAAATGTGTTCGCAAATTAACATAAGGTAATAACATGACTGCCAACAACAGCATTCAGGCTGACAACTGTTAAACGATTCCTCCCTCCCACTGCTGGAGGGGTCCCAGTCCCCTGGAAGTAAACTGTGCTTTGGAGGAGCAAACACCTATTTCAGGAAAACATAACTCCACAATCCAAGACTTGACAAGACCTGTCATAGCCCTTTAAAGGCTTACAGGGATCAGATCATATAGAAATTGTCTATCCAAAATTAGGAAACATCAACTGGATTAGTCATAGAGGTATGAAATGAGAAGAGCCAATGTCAGTCTTTCCATAGCAACTTTGGAGACTGTGCTGTTATCAACATGAAAACGCCTCCAAAAATATAAATTACTCTTCACAAAACTTTGATATCAAACAAATACTGTTATAAACAATCCAGTCAAAAATTGTCTTTTTTTTTTAAACTGGTAAAGAATACCTCTTCAGTACACTGCCACAGGTCAGCTCTCGATACAGGTGGATGCTATGGGTCATGCAGAACAGCTTTTCTTCTGAATCAAAATAAGTAGGGAATCTGTTTCCTGCTATCTCAATCAACCTATCAGAAAAACAGAAGACATAACACTGCAAAAGGAACAATATGGGATAACAAGCATCAAGTATTCACAAAGCAAACCAAGCACACCTCTGAATGATAAGCAGATACCAAGTAACACTGGAAATATTTTTCAAAAGAGAAGCATACTTTCGCAGTCAAATTGAAATACTTGAAGTCAGAATACCTGTGTCCTGTTCCTAGTGATGCTAAGAATCAGTGGTCCACTGGGGAAAGACATAACATGTCTGTATATAAAGAAACAACCTCTCATACAGAAGGAACTGCAAAATTTATAGTTACTGAATGCAAAGTTCTTTTGAGCTTCGTACAAGAAGCTCCACTCAATGGCCAAGTATTCTCCTATTTTAATTATTATATGTAACTATTATTTTCATTTAAGCAGAAGTAATTCAGACCACCTTCCCTTCCACCTTTATCTTGCAGTGAAATCACAAAGTGGACTTTGTGTCACCACAGGAATTTAACAAGCCAACAACAAACAGAAGATCTATTACAAGATCCAGCCAATATGGAAGTGGGACTGCAAAGAACAGAGCCCAATTCAACTGCAAGTACTTATACAAGCAGTACATGCATGGAAAGTATACCTGCAAAAGTGAAAATCTTTTCACAGATAATCTCTCTTTAAAAACAAATACAAGGTCATCTGGATGGGAGACTTTCATTGAAACTATTTCCATTATGCCAGTTACCTATTTGTAAAAAGGGCTCATAAAATCTTTAAAAATACATACTTTTTTAGAAAATAGCAAAAAAAAAAAAGCCCAAAACATCAGCATTGTGTCACAAAGTGACTGAGGCTCCAGCTGCCAGGCAGCTACAACTGAACATCCATCCATCCAGATAGCACAGGTAGAACTGGTATGACTTGATATAATGAAATGACTGAACAGTTTAAGTGGCTGCTTCACTGACAGAACTGAATGTGGGGTTCCATGATTAAATGTTCTCCATTACCTTATTAGCAAATTCATGACCCTCCTAAACCATGAATTACAATTGTTAAGCACACTACTATTTATTATGAGAGTAGACCAAGGAAGCATACCAGATAACTCACAATAACACCAAAAGAAGTCAGAAGAACTTGGGTATTTTTATTTGTTGTCAAAATACTTTTATATTCAGAAACTAAGCTTTGAAAAAGCTCTCACACAGATATAAAACTAAACAATTTACTGATGAGACACCAACATTTTCAGTTAAGTGAGATTTTATACATAAAATCGAGGACATTAAATGGTATATGTTTCAGAACTGCTAACTGCCTGGCTCACTCTTTGGAAGTCAGTTGGAAGAGGTTCCACCCCTTTGAATACAATGCAATTTTATCCAGGTCCTTAAATAAATGGTACAAGAATTTAATTTAGAAACTTGTAGTCACAATCTGAGCACTGTATTCTTCCAAAATGAAGATTTTATTTTGTAATGACAAAATACTTAATTGTTTGTACTTTAAGCAGACATATCCAACTGCTTCTAGCTTGAGAAGAGTGGCATCTAGTGGATGATATCTGTGGGCACAACTTACTGGTTATTCTGACGTTTTTATTTAGGCATCTTTCATTAAAACCCAAAATGTTAAAGCTATTTTAGAAACACGATTTTAAATCAGTTTTATGTGGTTTAAAAATTAGAAACACTAAGCTTGAATGTCAACATACCCATCCTGAGCAAGCAAATTTGTTACAATAGTAGGAATCTCATTCGTTAGATAAATTACTACATCTAAACTTGTCCCACAGAACTTCCAGGGACAGAACCTTGTCTTTCCATTCACAAAATTAATCATACACAGAACATGTTCTCTGAAATTAGGGTAGAGGCCCACAGGGTGGAAAAATCCATTTCTTCTCAGCTTTGATTCACAGAAATTTGTACCTACTAGTTCCTTTTTACAAGCACGAAGTACGGCTAGAAAGAAAAGCAAAACCAACAAATTATTTTCAGACCTTCTAAATAAGTCCGGTGTGTTTTCAGTTAATAGCTGGCTAGAGTTGAACTGAATTGCTGCAAAACTGATGACAACAATTTTGATTTCCAGACTTACTACGGCCATTCCATCTAGCTGCCCTAGTGTCTGTGTTCTGACAAAGCTGAATGACGGACACTGTCTGCACTGCTACAGCTTTCTCTTACATTCAAGTAAAAAAAAAAATACAAATTACAGAAACCAATGGCATATGTTAGAAGACCAGCCTCAATTCTGACCACTCTGCTCAGCATTTCTATTAGCTTGAAGTAAACTGTCACATTAGAGAATAAGTTATAAGACTATGAAAGTTTGTGGAAGCAAAAAGCTCCTGCACTGAAGTAAGACCTGCCAGGCAGAATGACAGAAGAAAAGTGCCTTTCAGCAAAGGAAATAAAATATCCAGCTTTATACAGTATCTTTCTAGAAGCAGAGTAGCATTATAGGCAGTATGACAGCCACAACTTTGCTAGTCTCAGCCCTAAAGAGCAGCAGGGATACAAACCCTTCTCAGGCTTTCCATAAAGGCTTTTGGTTTTACACAAAAATAGTGCCAGATAAACATCTCTTTCCATCAACCCCTTTAAAATAAGTTGTTATGAAATGAGTATTTGCCCCCTTAACCCCAGTGTTTAGAACAACAACAAAACCAAAACCTCTCCTACTCACTATCTATTAATAACACAGGATTACAGAATTGTAAGAAAATTCAAGTTAGGAAGAGAACTCAGAAGACCTCCATGGTAACATCCTGTTCAAAGCAGTGTCAGCTATGAAGTCAGAAGAAGGTGCTTAAGGTCCCTAAGGATGGAAGCAGCGCAACCTCTCTAGGCAACCTTTTCCAATTCCTGACTGTTCTTCTGGTAGAAAAGCTGCTCCATTTATCAGCACAGAAACTGATTTCAATGTATGCCTGCTGTCCCCCTGCCATGCACCACTGTCCCATCACCTTGATGGCTTCCTTATTGGTAGAGGCAGGCTGCTGTTAGAACCCTCTCAAAGCCTTCTCACCTCTAGACTGAGCAAGACCTCAGACTCTCTGCAAAGGGCAGAGTGTTCCAGCCCCAACCACCTTGGTAGACCTCTGATGAATTCCCTGCAGTTTGTCATGTCTTTCTCATACTGAAAGCCCAAAACTGGACACAGGATCTACATGAAATCTAACAGGTACCAAGTAGAAGGGGACAAGCACTTCCCTCACTGTGCTGGTGCTGCTCCTTAGGGGTTGCAACACATTATGTATAGCTGTCATTTGCAACTAAGCAATACTAAATATTATTTAATACATAAGCATTCTCATCCTTAGTAATAATGTTACTTTTACCACGTCCTTTTTATATCCTACTCTTTTCGGCAGTTTCATTTTCACATTCACCTGTTTTCTATTGGTTAGCATTCACTTTTAAGCAACAAGTTTTAAACAGTTAAGGACCCAGTGGATGAGTTATCTGCATTCCCTATCTATATTTCAGGGACCTGAAATAAATATTAAGTGGTATGTAAGAAGGGAGCACCAGACTTTGCAGAGCCATTGCTTGAACCGTTGTTTGTTTTTTTTTTGCTATATTACAATTCGGGTTAAAGTAATTAAAACTTTTGTGAAATCAAGTCAACAAAAACAGGCTTAGAAACCCCACCTTTTCATCTATGATAACTTCAAATGATTAAACAATGCAAATACATTTGCTTTGATACTCTGAATTCAGGCCATGAGTATAACTACTAAGTCATCTGAAACACGTAAGTTACTTCAACGAATCTTCTACTGCCCATTTTGCTACGCAAAGATGAAAGTACTGTACTACTTGTCCTCCCCTACATCATTAACTTTTGAACTAATTCCAAACAGTGACAAAGGAATACACATCTCAAAAACATTGAATCCTCACAGTTTAGAGAGCTTGGTAACTAAGTAAACTAAATTAGAGCTACCTTTAATGAAATACTGCAGAATTATTTCAACAGTTAGCCAGTCACCAACACATGCGTTCATCTGTAACTCTCAAGCAGATACAGCATATAGCATCTCCTGTCCATTCAGCAGTAAGGGGATACTGTAGGTGTACACATGAGCAGTTTCAGTCCCACGGGAAAAGCAGGAGATACTAGAAGAATGAAAGATGTTATAGAGGGATGGGAATATAGTACAGCATGACCACTAAGGATGTAGGGGAGAGGATAATGCAGAAGGAAATCAGAAGTGCAGAAGGGCAGGGGGCCCCACTCAGCAGAAATAGGATAGAAATCTGAAGAAAAACTGGATATGTCAGTCCTACTGTTCAGACAAAAACCTCCATTTCCTTTGTATTCAAAGCGTTGGGCCTTTACATCCTCAAAACCTTCCTGGTAACTCCACAAACTAAACTGCAAAGAAAGATTTCAGGTACAGGGCTGTTAAGATCATTTCTAAATTAGAGAGTGTGCCAAGCACCTCATAATTCCACAATTGGACTCTGCCTCCTAATTATTATTAATCATACAAATTAGGAAGTTGAGTAAACCATTTTAGTAAATTACTTTTGTCACCTACAGAATAACTGCACACATTAGATGAATGGTTAATAATTACCATCTGTATTTACTTAAAAAATGCTTAACTATTGCTCAGAAAATAACCGAAGGCTCCGAGAGAAAAGATGCCAAAGAAGTTGGAAGCGTGTGTTTCAGAATTTTGCACCTTACCTCTCAGCACTGAATGCAGACTCCGTGTCAATGTATATAACAGCCCCATCCAGTCCTCCCATGCATACAGGCAGAGTAGCCAGAACACATGCCATAATACAAAACTGAGTTTTGCCACAACCTGGTGGGCCAGTTATCTGGAAGAAGAAAAGATCAGTAACATAAACAAGAGATATCACATTCATTTTGAATTCTACTTTTAGGTAAGATCCATCAGCCAGAACACCTCAAAGTTTGTTCTACCAGCTACCAAAGGAGGGCACAGCCACAAAGAGAATGCAGCCCACAAAGAGCAACTTGCAGTTACTCTCGGATCTGTGCCTTGCAGTCACACTCATCACTGAAGAATAATAGTTCTTGAGACACAACATTATGTTTGCGTTCATTTCTCTGACATCCTTTATTATGTAACTTTCATATTTGAGGCTCCCTATTCCCATCCTCCTCTTACAGGATATTCGCCAGAGCCACAGCTAATTCTTTTCCATCTCCTTCTCTGTGTTACCTTCTAAAATAAAGCAGAATTGGAATAGTCACAGTTGACATTCACATGACATCAATGGCCTTTAGAGCTGAAAAAGTCCAGAGCTAATGAGTTCACAGCTGTAAATGACTGCTTAGGAGTCATCATTACCTTGGTTACAACCAGGTCTCCCTTGGAAATCACAAGTGTCATTACTTACCTTATAAAGACTGAATGTTCAGTATGGACCTCATTTATACATAAGACAAACTTTATCGGCCCAGAGACTACACTCTGCTATGTAGCATGTGCTTTGTCATTGGCATTAGCTCCCTATTACCATATTTCAAGAATGAACACCATTTAAGGTTCAGACCAGCTTGCCAATTTTAAGCTTCCACCTGCGCTGACTGAAATCTTACGTTAAGATTTGCACGTGCAAATACAGCACACTCAACTTATGTGAAATGGTTCCAGTATTATCCAAGAGAAAAGCCACAAGGATCAAAAGAACACATTGTTTGAAGAGAGCCACAGTTTCAGAGAGCAAGATTTTTCTACTAGAGATTGCAGCATGCTGTTCTTCATCCACTGTAGATCTTGCAGAGATTGTAAATGAATGCTGAGCTCTGTGTTCAGATAATCACATGTTCATCACTACTACAGTGGGTCTTTAAATACCATATCACATTGTCACTGCTTCTGGGAAGGGAGACAATGATATCTTAAATACTAAGAGGGCTAAAAAAAAAAAAAAAAAAAAAAAAAAAAAAATCAGGAAATGTAAACTTGAAGCAACTTTAAAACCAAAGAGTAGTGAGTTCATTCTGACTCTAGTAGGGACTAAATAATAACGTGCTATAAAAGTAAGCCACACCAAGGAGGTTAAACTGCAAAACATAGCGTACCTTCTCAAAACAGCACTGCCAAAGCAAAGGCTTAAAAACAGAGCTGTTCTTTTAAATTAAAAAAGAAACCTTTCAACAGACACTCAAAATCAAACTGATTTTTGATCCTAAATGCACAATAGTTTAAGTACAAACACCCTTTCACCACAAGATACTACAGTATCCTTATAGTTTTGTTTTAAGCAGCAGCAGCATGACTTGGAGCACAGAAACTTTACAAGGAAACAGTGAAGGCCTGCATTAGCTACAGTTACACATTAAGCTACTGTTAACAGTTGGTTAAAATATCTTTAATCACTTTTGTCTTTAAACAAGGTCTGAAAACCAAGCTATATCAGTCAACCTACTCTAAACTTTAATGGAAGAGAAGCATTAGATGATTTTGTTTAGAAGCACACACTGCATTTAACAAATTACAGAACAGGAATCAGCCAATAATAATTTCTGCAATTATCTCTCCTCCATCTAGGGTACTTAGATTACAAAATATATCAACAACAGCAGCCACATTTTAATATTAACCCAGAGCATATATAAAAATTGCAGAGGCAAAACATATCCCTTAGCCTGTGATAGCCAAGCAATCTTACCAGCTGTTTCTAGTTAAAAAGAAGATTTGAAATGAATGAGGGGAGGTCATCAATCCAGTTGTTAAAATGTTCAGACAACTGTGCACAGACCTCATAAAACATTTGTAGTTTCAGCCTTGCCTGAGAGATGCATTGGAAATATTTATTTCAGTGACTAATGCAGGAGCTAATTCAGAAGAGATGCTGTAAAAATGTCCAAGAATACAAGCATCCTATCAGAGAAAGACAGGGAATTTTACAGTATGAGGTAGAATAAGGAAACAAGCCAATGAAGTGAGAGAAAATTTGTGTTCCCAAAGACAATACTTCATCTTTCAACAGCATTCCTTTAAAGGGCATCAAAATAGGTTTTTAAATAATCTACAGTAAACAATGTTAGAGAACTACCATATTTAATTGTAGTTAATGCTGGTTCAGCAAGTGTTCTGAACACTAAAATCTTCATTTAAAATAACAAGCTGGAATTCTTCTACCATAATTTAAACTGAATGTCTGTAAAAAGTCTGCTTAGTTTGTTTTATTCTAAATTTGCTCTGGAAGAGAAAAAAAAAAAAGAAAAAAATCAAGTCCACCCAGATAGAAATGTGAAGACTGCAACCATTTTTCATTTATCTCTGCTAATAAAATATACTTTTATTTTTCATTAAGCTATATATTATTTTCTCTGGCACATCTGTACGGTTTGGACAAAATCACAAGGAGCTAATTCTTCTTCAGCTACCAGGGGATTAAACTCTTCAATATTCTTACTTTAATTTTTCCTCAGAGGAGTTGGCCAAAAGCTGACAGCTGACCACAAAATTTCAGCTATGATTTAATTTCCAACTCAAAACCTAATAGTGGTTTGGGAAAAAAATGGTCTGAGACAGTGTAACAGAAATCAAATCCCTCTGGCACTCAAAAAGCAAGCGGCTTTGGCTGTAGAAGTTACCCCCACAAGTCTTAACCCCGTGGCTCATGTACTCAAATTCCAAGTTTCCAACCACCCTCACTGCTGGGTAAAGTAACAGGAAGACAGTGATTTAGCCACGCCAGTCAGGAAGTGACTGCTGCATGCAACATATTTTTGAAAACTTCTTTCAGAATACCTGTCTAATAACAAAAAAGGGTAATCTGCTGGTCAGCTATGCTCCAGTAAATTGCAAAAGAGCAAATTAAATTATTACGTTCCAAAAACCAATCGAATCCGAAAAGAATGCAACCTGGAAGCTTTCACAAGCTGCAGTACAGCATCAAAGCAGCAGCAGCAGACACTTGTCAGCTTTCTACTAAAATTTCATCCAGCAGTCATACTAAAGAACACTTGTAGCGCTGCCAGCTACTTCAGAACTCATGACGCTTGCAACTATGCTTTAAGTATCTCCATAACCAGGCTTTAAATGAGAAACTCAGTTTCTGCAGAGTTAATTGTTCTCTGCCTTTACATTTGCTGAGAAACACTCAACACATGCCCTGATTACTTCACACATTTAGCACCTAAAAGGCTGCTAAATAAAAGCAACAAACTTTTTTTTTAAAAGACATCTTTAATATCTTAAATTAGTCATCTAATTTCCGGAGCCTACCTAGTTCTCCCTATAACATTTCTAATTAAACAGTTATTATGCATCAATATTGTCAAACTGGTATGAGGGTGCAACCAAGACCAAGCTACCGGTAGGATGCAGAGCCTGCAGTTCTAGGCTCATCCACCAGATGTCTTGTACAGACTTCAACATCTCAGAGTTAGGCAGGTCTCTATTTCAAACCAAAATATGTTAAAATACAAAAACAAACAAAAAAAACAAACAAAACAAAAAAAAGTTTGGGTTTGGTTTGGTTCTTTTTTTTGGGGGAGGGGGTGTCAGAAAAAAAATTCCAATGGAACACCTCTCCTGTTGCAGTGCTTTTCACTTACAGTTAGATAAAAGTTCAGCCTATCTTTGAATATATTCACTTCCCCAACTACTTTTAAATACATTGATACATACAGCGTATGACCGTTATTAAAACAGAAGTTAGTAACATTTTCTCAGATTTTTTTATATCTCAAACATTTTTTAAAACATTTATATGTTTTAAGGAAACACTGAGGAAAAAAATTGAGTATTGTGATAATCAACCACACTGAGAGGTATTACAAATTACAGAGCTCTGGAAAACTTAGCATTTGCATTTACTTCTTAAAGAGTGGTATTTTATGCCATCTCAGGAAAATTACATCGAACATCAATCTTTTGAGGTCAACTGCTTGCAGAACTTGCTTTCAAATAAAACAATAAATAAATAAATAAATAAATAAATAAAACTACATCAAACCAAAACCTAGAACTCAAAGGTTAGCTGAACTCCAGTAAAACTCCCAGCATGTCAACCACTTCTTTTCCTGGATGGCCCTTGGAGCAATGCCATGTACATGGCAACTGGCAAGCTTAAGTCTCTCTGTGCTCCAGAGCCATTCTACCTGGTCTTCAAGCAAGAACAGGTCAGACAGAGACTGCACTGCTAGCCGAGTGATAGCTGTGCTTAGGATTAATATTCATGACATTCAGCAGCCTTGTAAGTTAACGGGATGGCTCTTCTGACTCTAAAGGATCACATCCACTTTTTTTAATTAGGGAAAAAATATTCCAGGATCCTTTAATGCAAACTTCTACACTCTGGCCACCTTAGTCAAAACTGCCAAGCCACAAGAAGGAAGGCAGAATAGATTGGGTTAACCTACAGAAGAGTGACATCCTTGTTTTGGGCACCACTCATAAGCCATTCACAGGCTCGAGGACAAATCAGCACATCACAAAAAAGGCAATCCCTGCTCTACTTCTTTCTCCTACCTGTGCAGTGGTGGCTCTCCATTTCAACTAAAGAAGCAGAACTCGGAAGTTTAAGCAGCCTAAAGACGTGGCCAACCATTCTCTGCCTCCACTGAGAAATAGTGGACCAAATGGAAATTTCATAAAGCCAGGTACCAGCTGCAAGTGAACACCATCTCTTTCCAAACATATGCTGTGCTATTTCATCAGCTGACTGCATGAACAATAATCCAAAATAAAAGGAGTCAAACTACACCCAGTGCGGCCATTGCTTTGCTGATAAAAATATTTTTAGGCACTAAAACCTAACCTCCTGCTGAAAGACTCTATCCTCAACAGCAGCACAGTTATTATCTCAGGATGCTACATATCCCACTGGTACGTATAACAACAGCTTGCTCTTCTTCAATGAAAAGAAATTTAGCCAGTCTTTTCTCCCAGAATTTAAAGACTTGTAGTACTCATCTTAAGATTAAATTCTTCCAATTTGATTTGCTTACAGTAAATTGGTAACAAAGCTAGGCCTAAATAGGATGAAAATAATAATTGTGACAGATCAATGTTAAGTTCATGGATGCTTTCTTAATCATTTTCATGAACACCTGAATGGTGTATTTTCCTGTACATCTTATAAAAGAGAAATACTTAGAATCTTTAAAAAGTAATATTCCCCCATTACCTATGAGTTTACTAGAGCAGAAGCTGTTATAGTCTAAACTCAGCGTTGCTTAAACACTAATATGCTCTAAGTCACTACACATTCCGTAAGTGTTTTCTGAGATAACAACAAACCTAGTTTTGATTATAGGGTGTGGAAAAAATATTTTCCTCAGAGTAAGATTTTTGTAATTTCTCACTTCTACTCCTCTACTGTGGTAATTTGCCACAGTAGACAAAGGAAAGCACTTGGTAGGGACAGCTAATATGCTCCTGGCAAAAGATGGTTTCACCTTATCTAAATTCAGAGCATGAGGCACACAAGACATTTCAAGCGAACAGCTGAGTTCAGAACTTTAGGGCGGCAAATATCTCTCACTGCATAAAACCAGTATCCACTGAGTTACGGATTCTGTCTCTACTAAGGACCTACAATGGATGGCAAAGTGAATTACATCAGAATAGGGCACACATTTATTGATATTCCAATATACACATTTCTCCACTTCCACTGGTAGTTTAGCAAATTCCTAAGGTAAATATTACATCTTCGTGCTTTCAAAACACTCAGTGACTCCTATGAACACCTACACAAACCCTGTCTTTCCAGATTATAGAAACTATGCAAGTTACAATCACTTTCTGCAAGGCCACAGAGAAATCCAGGCACTAGAAGATGAATTCTTCCAGTCTTAGAAGTCCATTGGTCTTAAAATAAAATTTCAAGCAAAAAGTAGTATTGCATCCAAAGTCCAGAGAGTGAGAGTTATAGACGTACATGCAGTTTGCAGTTTTTCAATGTATGTGCATATAATAGAGCCCTTAATTCCAGTCTTTCTCAACAAAGAATGTGTTATATATTTATTGCTTAAATTAATTATATATTACAGCTCTGTAAAGTCATTCTCATGACTATATGTGTCACACTTTTGTCCTGATTGCTTATGGTACCTTCATAAAAACTAATGACTTGGTAAAGTCAGAATAATTCTGTTGATGCGGAAGTCACGGACAACACAGAGACGATCAATGTGATCAAGTGATTGCCAAATTTATTACAAAGCCTTAACTCCTTATATACTATTTCTTACATGCAGTTACAGTGATTTGGCATATTATGATTGGATACATGTCTTGAAGACCCTTAGTGACTAACATGTAATTGGTTAAGCACAGGTGTGAGAACTTGACCTCGAAAGCTTGCCAACAGTCCACAGTTCTCATTAACTCAGTGAATTCCAGCTTCTTCTTATCTTGCTTGCTTAAGCTTCTTTGGGCCTCTCATGGCCTTGCTGTATCTTTTAGGATTATTCAGAGTTTATGTACCAATTATGCATTCTCCCGTGAGAACACTGTCTCCACATAAGTCAGTATTAAAAGGGCAGGCTCCTGATTCAGCACCTTGTGCTCTGACCACAAAACCACTGCAACTCTGCCACTGTAAAATCCAGCCAACAATTCTCCCAAATTTCCTGCAAAATTTTCCTACTTTTTAAAGGAAAATAACATCACCAATTTTTTTAATTCCTTCATTTTCCCTCTTACCTGACATCTGGGGGGGGGGGGGGGGGGGGGGATGGGGTGGAACAGACACCAAAAAAGTACAGCCTCTACCAAACAAAAGGAAAAAGCTCTTCTCCTTGAAAAATTTTGTGTATGTTGTGTATAAAGCACCTGTCACAGGACAGGTATAAGGCACAACTGCAGGAAAATATATTGAACAAGTTACCTCTGTGAGGGATCCACAGGGCACTCCACCATGCAGGACTTTATCCAAACTATGCAGCGTGGTAGATAAAAAGGCTGAAGAGGGATTGACAGACTTCCTCAGTTTCATTTCATAAGCCTACAAGAGGAGGGGGAAAAGGCAAAAGTAAGCAAACACACAAATCAGAAAATATCTTTTTCCTTTTTTTTTCTCCTTTTTTTTTTTTTAATGGAAATCATAGAATCACAATCACAATCAGGTTGGAAAAGACTAAGATCATCAAGTCCAACCAAATAGCAAACTTCTTGCATTTACTTTCATCAGCCTGGAATGACTTAACACTTACCAGTGAGCAATCTCTTACTATGTTCAGTTGTATTCCTCCCTTACCTCATCATCCTTCACATTTATATCCTATTTATAGTTCACGGAGTAAATGTAAAAGTTTATCGTGTCTTCCTCATCACGGTATTAAATAATAAGCCTTTAATAATGACGTGTCAAATGATTTCTGTGCTTCTATTCAACAAGGGTTGCCTTCAACCTGTAAAACTCCAACTTTTAAACAAGTAAACACTATACATGTCACTAGTGACCAACACAAAACACTACATAAAACCTTAAACCAAGAACTTCTTGGCCAACATTCATTACCAATTTGAAACTACCTGGATTGAAAGAAAGGCTTGCTAAAGATTCCAAGTCTCTGACCAAGCCTGGGGTGATCCCAAAGCCATTCATAATTTTCCACTTCTGTAAGGAAGGCTGGTCAAGAAGACAAGACAGGTATAGAGTAGAAAATAGTTGGGAATAGATTAAGATCAGAATTCTAGTTCATAAGTATTATTTTCATTCAGAGGATCAATTTAAACCAGAAAAAGAAGAAATAAAAAAATGCAAATGCTGATCTGGAAACACCAGAACATGAAGTTTCCAAAAGAAACAGGAGTTGCTTACATCTTGCAGACATATGCCAAAACTGATGCTGAAACTGACACATTCTTCAACCACTGAGCATCCTGAACATCAGAAGTTTGATTTGATCTAAAGCTTGTTGCTGTAGCTACAGTTAAGAGCTCCCAAAGGTTTCAGACTCCTGTGCCAAAAACAGAGATTCTCAAAGCCCGGTCACAGTGTACTCCCATAGCCTGCCATGACTGACCACAGTCTATGCCTTACAGAAATGCAGGTATCAGATTTACCCCAGTCTTAAGATAGTCTGCTGGGAATTTAGTGTACCATGGAAGCACCTCCATAGGATTCATCGATAGCTAGGTAAATAAACACACCATTGAATCCTATACGGTTTAGTCCATACTTACTGGGCCAGCAAGTGAGCATTTTTGTTGAAGCTGATCAGAAAGGCTTCCAGCTAGTTTTACCAGCTGGCTGAGGGACAATAGCTTGTACCTTCCTTTTTTTATGCTACAGTGCTTCCCTATGTTATGACAGGTAGCATATTAGAGTAATATTTGAACTTCATTCAGACCTTCTCTGTTCTTCAGTTCTACTGAGGAGAAATAAACTTGAAAAATAGTTTTCAAAACACAGAACAGGCCAATACAAAAAACAATGAATTCTACCTCACTCAAAAGGATCAGAGTTTATGTTCAGGTTCACCTTAAGAGTGAATACTGTACTAATTAAGAAGTATTTGCAACATAGTTCTATAATTTTTTTGTTCAACCTCTGACAGGACTTAAACCCCATAGACTGGGAAAAAAAAACAAACCCACAGAACATGGAAACAATATTCTAGTCTACATTTCCTGACTAACAAACTCCGATTTCCATATTTAACCCAGAAAATGAGGGTTGAATCAGACTTTCAGTAAAAAAATAAAGTAAAATTCAACAGTTAAATCAGGAGTCCAAGTGAATGAAAAATTACCACATCCTCAGATGATCTTTTCAATATGGTAACTTATGTCAGTTTCTAAGGATTTTGTCATTACATCTCATTTCAGGGACTTACTTTTTAATTTATCTTCCAGTTACCAGATCCTGCTCAGCTGGACTCTAGAGACATCTAGTATAATTACCTTTTTCTACTCAGCATATCATGTGATCAAGTCACCCCTTCACTAACTTCTCTTGTAAGCTCTGTAAGCTTCACTCTGTACTTTATACTGTGAGGCAAGTTTTCCAGAAATTACAGTTCTATTTCAGATCTTGCCATACTCTTAAATTTTGCTTGGTGCTTCCCATACTGTATCTCAACAGTGTTTTTCCCTTATTTATAACTCCTATTATCTATTTACTTTTTTACTCAAAGGCATTGTCAAGCATTCTTGCTGTATCAGTCATGATGTTATATCAGTCACTCTCACTTGAAGTCCATTTGAAATCCTGTGTTTGCAGAGATTCAATCCACATACCTTAAAAATAGCCAACGTCCTCTGTTCTGGAACTACAGTTCCTTATTTTATGCATGTACATAGCTGGTTGTAGCTGGAAGTGTTCAGAAACTGTGCAGATGAGGCCCTCAGAGATACAGCTTTGTGGTGGTCTTAGCAGTCCTGAAGTAATGGCTGGCCTTGATGATCTTAACAGTCTTTTCCAACCTAGTTGATTCTATGATTCTACATGCTGACTCTGTATTAACAGTCCTTGACAACTGCTGTCTGACAAGCTTCAGTATATGTCCAGCTTCTTGGCAAAGAAATTTGATTGAATGCTGATGTGTAATTAGCTCACTTTTAATCCACTCAGTACAAGTCATATTAATTCTGCATATCACTAACTTTAACGCAGCATGCTTGTGAATTTAAAGTTTTACAAAGTTCCTATGCCAAATACACATCATAAACTTTGACAGGGCTTTTTTATTTTTTAAGAAATAACAAACAGGCTGTATTGACACAGGCCAGAACTGTCCATGTACTCTCTACTCTAAAAAGACCCCATTTCTGACATCTTTTCACTCAAATTCAAAAGAAAACAAAATCCTGCCCCTACATTGCACCTAACATGCATTTCCTCCTTGCACTTGGCCCAGTTAGGCTACCTGTAGCCTAAAACCACACTACAGCTCACTTACATGGATGGAACAAATCCTCAAGTTACCTTCAGTATCATTACACTTCTTGACACACATTTTATGTCTAAAAGCAATTTATACTGACGTTCTTATTCTCTGCTTTTTTAAACGTTCTTATTCTCTGTTTTTAAACAATGCTTTTGTGTTTTGGTTTGGGGTTTTTTTTGCAGGGTCCAAACCAGAAGCAATTTTTAGATGCTGGATTGCAAGACAGAATGACATATTTCCCTATTGCACTCAGAACTGATTCTGCAAGCCTGAGCAATCTCTTGAGGATATAAAGCCTAATAAAAGTCACTGCATCAAACTAAAGTGCCTCAGAGATCTAAATTTAAAAATAGAGGTATTATTTTATTGTGCAATTAAACTGAGACATTGCAAACCTCCCATGTAAAAAGATGAGTGACACTGTTCAGCTTTTTCCCAGAAATTGCATCAAAACCAGATGCAATCAACACGCACACACTTACTGTCTGCATTTTGGGAGCACAAGCTCGGCTGACTTTACAAAGAAGCTTCTGCACATCATAGTAGCTCTGTCCCGTCACTTTCATTAGCTCCAAGAAGGAACGACATAAAAAGTCCTGAAAAATGACAGAATAGATCAGAGATTACAACCTAGAAATCAAGACTGAGGACTAAACTGATGCAATATACACAACTAGATGGTAAACCCATGGAATGTATACTGTGGTACGTCATACACTACTATGCTATACTTCTCCTAACTTTCTCTGGTATCAGTATGTTAAAAGAAATTATATTTATAAAGAACATGGAGTCAAAGGACCAGACATTCAAGAGCTGTGTAATAAAATTGCAATAGCACCTTTTTGCCCACAGAAGTCTCTATCTACCTAAAAATAACATTCAAAATACAGCATGTCTTCTAGATCGCAGTCCTAGGCCTAGATCCTGCATCTGTGATGCGTATTATTGAAATATATATGGCCTCTTGGCTCTCTTTAGGTGAGCACATTTGTAACAGCAACTTCAGAACATACTGCTGAATCAACCCATAACTAACAGTGTAACTTCACAGCCTGTTCACACACTAGTTAGACAGTATACATGTGTTTTGTTAAGTGTTCACAAATTAGTGCCTTACCCAACACGAGTAGTAGCTGCACACCCCTGCTAAAATAAAGCAACTTTGGGCTCTTTAGAAGTGAAGGTAGTAAGTACATAGAAGCTTAAATGTTTTAGTTGGGCATCTATCACTTTAAATCCGTATTTTTACAAGGCAGCAAGCCAGATGGAGTGTGCAATGCCCCTATTTTATAGAAAGTAAAGCTCCCTGTAAATTAAACCTCAAAGAAGTAAACAGTATATGCATGAAAACACAGAAATAAAAACCAAACCTGGACAAACAAATAACCAACCTCCCACAAAACCTCTGCCCCACAAGTATAAAATAACCCTTTTACCTGACAGGTAGTGATCTGATGGCGACTCAGCCTTTCACACAGCTCCTGAGACAACCTCGCTCTTCTGAGTTTCTTAGCAGCCATGATTACCAGTCTACAAGGCAAACAAACCAAAACTTTGTAAGATGCTTAGAGTATGATATGTGGCCAATTTCACCCACTCCTGCTAAAGAACAGGAAAGCTGGTGCACTTGCATGTGTGTCTGTATATACGTGCTCATATAAAAAAGACTGTGATACACGTAAGTCTATGTTACATTATATTATCACTCTGAAAGCAGTTATGTTAAATTATATCCCCTCATATTTGACCATGTGTGAGATGATGCCAGTAGAGTCAGCAATGTTTACAGGACAGGTGATTTTGGGACATAAGAAAGCTGGAATTCACTCGGTGGTAAACTGAACAAGAACTCCTCATGCTATACTGCACTGGAAAGAAATAAGGTTCTCTTTGGATGCCTAAACACAAACAATAATCACAGTAAGTACTTAGCCCTATAACATATACTCCTAGAACACAACACTGTTCTGGTGACCCAGGATTAGTGACAGATGTTGAAAGAACAGGAAGAACCTGGAAAGGAGACAGCAGAAAGACTGAAGGGCTGGAAAAATACTTCAGCATGACTCAACATGGTCAAACTAGTCAAACACATATCATTCTATGTGACAATTTATGAAACAAACACAGTTAACAAGGAGCTCTTTATTTTAGCCAACAGTGTAGAAGAAATCAGAGGCCAAAGCTAAGCATATAACAATGAGAACTACAATGTAAATATTATTTTAAAATTGAACAAAAGTACCATTAATCCAAGGCAGCATCAACTGTGGAATATTCACTCACTCAAAATCACAGAATCATAGAATGGTTCGGGTTGGAAAGGACCTTAAAAACATTTAGTTCAAATCCCCCTGCCATGGGCAGGGACACCTCACACTAGACTGTGTCACCCAAGGCTCTGTCCAACCTGGCCTTGAATACCACCAGGGTGTTAAATTGTATTTATTGAGAGTCCTGCTTAAAGCATACCTGATTATTTCAGATAAGCCTTAAGGCTGTTTTACATAGCAGGTAAGATTGCACTGCCACTAGGAATCCTTCTCCCCTTAGCTCTCAGCCATTTGCATTGGTCCCTGTTTTTTCTTATGAATTACATACTACTGAACAAAACTCCACAGGACAGTATTCGGCCCAGTACGACCTAGAGCACAAGCTTTCCTAACCTACATGTATATTCAAGCATATAAGACTGTTTCACACGTATTTTTAGACAATATTCCTGGTATTTAATTAGCCCTAAGCTTAAGGAAAATAAAAAGGCCTTTACATAATGCCAAATTGCTACCTCTGCAGATGCAAAGGCCTCACATCTTCGCAAGATGGAAATTTCATTGGGCCCTCTACAAAACCTTCTTTAGACAGCAGGAAAATCAAAGTTTGGAGAGTTCCGTGCCCTTTGAGTTGCCAGCTTCATTACCAACTACACAACCTGCACGCTACCTCGCACATGATGGTGATTCCTGGCTTTACACATACACCACAAACCTCTGTCAACTGACTGAGGCGATCACAGTGGTCCCCCAGGAGCACTGCCCGCACCTTCGGCGGCCCCGGGACCGGCGAGTAGACAAGGACACCCATGAGGGGGTAAAATGCACATATACCGGCATAGACTTACACCAAGTGCTGCAGAGGAGCTTGGCATTAGCACTTCGCCTGGAAGGAGAAAAAACACAGCCCCACGCCCTGAAGGAGAGCACCGGCGGACACCCTCCCACCGCGCAGCCCAGGGGGCTCAGGCGCTCGCGTGCCCCATCGCTGCGGGACCCGCGCCTGACCCCGGCAGCGCCGCAGGCACCTGGAGTCCCGCTCCCGCCGCAGGGGCAGGGGCAGCCTCGGGGCGGGGCGGGGCCGAGGCGGGAGGAGGGCCGCGTACCTCAGACCTTTCAAACGTTCCCGGCGGCTGCGCGAGGGGGCGGGGCCCTGGGCAAGGCCCTCACTCGCGATTGGCTGCTCTTCCAGCCAATCCCGCCGCACCCACGAGTGCCGGTGGCGTGCAGTGCATGCCGGGAGCGATACCGCCCGGGAGCGGGAGGGCGCGCTCCGCCTCCCCACCTCCGCGGCCGGTGGTGGCGCTGTGCCCCAGAAAGTTCTACACGTAAAGCACATAAAGCACCTACCGAACTGGAAAGCCTTCGGCATGGAGAGTGCTATCCATACCTTCATTTATAGTAAAGATGCTGATTCTTGTCGTCGAGTTGAGGGCTTACAGACATCAGGTCTGCTGTCAGGTGTGGGAGAAATGCTGACTGAAGAAGTGACCACCCTGTAGTGTGAATGTGACAGCATCAGTCAACAAACATGGCTGATACGACTTTACTAATGTCTGCAGGATGAGTTTTCCAAGTCACTCTACCTTATCCTAGAAAGCACCGAGTACTGTATGTATGTTGTCTGCATAATCTTTACAGTTCCAGAAATTAACCTAACTGAAGGAAAAAACGGACCAGTATTACCTGGGACGTTTACTGAAGGCCCGTGCTTTAACAACCGCAGGGCTGTAGCTTTTTGTGTACTGGAAAAGAAAGGCTACACCGAAGCTGTGAAATACAGAACACTTCAGCCGCTTTTCCAAATGTAGCAAGGAGCTGACTATCATGAAATGCCCAACAACCCTAGCATCAAAAAGGCTCAGTGGAATTAGTGTTTCCTTCATACCCTGAAGTGAGGGAGCTTACATGCTCAAAGAAGTACAGAGGGCTTAAGAACCTGGACAACGAGGAAGCAGCCCACACAAAAGCAACTCGGAGCTTTACTGGATAGCCAGCTGAACAGAGATAGAAGAGATGACATGGAGGAAGAGCTCCTCCTAGTGTAGTTGGCCTTTAAAAGTTCACTGGAAAAAACAACTCACAACTGAGAAAAGCTGCCTAAGGGAAAGCAAAGGATGTCTGTTGCTCGGAGTTAGTATCAGTGAAAACAAGAGGGCATGACCATAATATAACTGTGTCACAGAGCAGTACTTCCTGCTCCGCACAGGTGTAACAGCAGCCCTACCTTCCAACCAGAGCTGCAGGAAAAAGTAACATTGCGGTGCTGACTTTTGTCCCTCCCGCAAATGAACAGAGCTTCCCTTCACCTCCAAGCCAATAGGCTTCCTTCCCATCTTCTACAGAAACAGAATACCTGTATTAAACCAGAGAACTGTTTTGGGATTTTGTTGAGCGAGAAAAGCAAATCTTGCCAAACAAGTCCTGCAGAAGATTTGAGACCAAAACCAGTATTCCCTGGTGCCTCTCCTGCAAGATGTATGCATTCTCAGTGGAGTCATGACTGTTCCACTCTCTACTTCTCAGATACATAAATATCCCTCTAAACCTACTGACGAATAATCATGCACTATCTTCTCTGTGTAACTTGAGAAAGTTACTGTTATATATCCAGAGGATAATCAGGGGAGTGTTCACATAGGCTTTGGCACTTCAGTGTTAGCAAGCAGCAGCACAGAAGGTAGTTCCACAGCTTCTGTATGTTTGCCGAGGACAGTCACTAGAGAGTCAGGGCTCTCTGCAAACAGCTCTGCTCTGTGACCTTGGTCAAGCCTTGTAATGACAGGGTATCTGCTTTACTTCTCAGTTTTGGTTTTACCTATTTAGACTGTAAACAGAGTAAGTAGTGCCAGCCCAATAGACTTATGTGTCGGGCATAATGCAGCAGAGAGCTGCTCTGGTCTAAGCTTTTAGCTGCTCCTGGAACTTTAAATAAGAAGAGATTAATAAAGCTAAGAGATGATTATAAGAACTGAGCTTCACCACATTAATGTAAGAAGGTCCTTTAAATCAGCAACACTGGAGCAAGACTTACAGAAAGGCAAAGCATAACAGCAACAAAGTCTCACAGAAGGAGAGTGCTCTCACATCAGACACACCAATTAGAATAAAAAGGGGAATGGAGATTAGCTTGCTAGGGGTAAGCCAAAAGGGATGGAGTCTGATTTGAAGGGCACAGAATGAAACTTACCAGTTCTGATCCAAATAAATATTCAGTAGTTAAGTAATTCCTAAAGCCTCCAGAACTGAAAAGATAATGGCAATTTTTTTCCTTTCTGGAATAGAATCCCCAGAAAAGTTTCTTCCTCAAACCCAAGGAAGCCTTTTGTGAGCATATTTAGATAATACTTTCGCATTCTGGAACATTTCAAATCATTCACTTAATTACTAAAACAGCATTAGCTCACTGATACTGACTGCAGTCCTTGGGTTTATTGCTATTTACCAACCATTAATTCTTGCCTTAAAATTAGCAGTGTTACCCAACCCCTGTGAAAGGAAAGTGTCTCCCCAAAAGAGTTTAATCTGTGAGAACACAGCAACAACTCTGCCTCACAGGTGTAATTCAGATATTCAGAGCAATTCCCCACCTTATTCTTACTGACTAATGTCTAATTAGTCAAATATATTCTTACTCCATTGGGTTATCTACTTGATGCCTACCACATTCTTGAAAAAAACCCCACAACCGAACACCCATGTGCTTCCAAGACTAGAAAGCAATTATAGACCAGCCCGTGCTTTCCTGGGATTAGGGTCCCAATGGTTCCTCAATAACAGCACACAAACAAACCTCCAATGAATTATTCACTCTGTTGCTGTCTCCCCAAAGGAGATGCAGATTTACTTCCAACCCTTTGAGGTTCCCACATCTCTAAAAAAGGCAAATTAAGGGATCTCACAGGGAGAACTGCACCCTGGTTAAAAATGCATTCTTCTACACTGCTCATACCAGCACAGCTTTAGCAAACCTACTTCACTTGAGACTTTCTCAGTTGCATCTGCTCCAGGGCTGGGTAGAGGGAAGGGAAACCATTTTTCTGTTGTTTTTACAAGCTGCTCAGCACAACCTCACTGTTATCATTGACTGTAATAAACAGATCAAGAAAAACACCTGTGAAAAATTAGCTCATCTTCTCATTCTGACTGATTCTCTCCCTCCCTCAATCCTCTGGACTGTCTGTGGATCAGATAAATGGTTCTCCCCAGGCAATTAACCTTTTTCCTCCGGCTCAGGAAGGATTAAGCCAAATTATG